CACAATGATGTGCCTCATCGAGTCTGTCACAATCTGTCTAGGAGTGAATGGCACCCCCCTTTTAGCTGGTGTACCGTCATATCAGAATCGGACTCTTCCCGTCATACCCAACACAACTACTGTCTCTGCATTCAGATCAGAGACGCAAATATCTCCGTTCTTGTTCTCTGCTACAAACAACATGAATTTTCCACTCCCAAAGATTGTTTTATCATTTTCTTTAAATATTTCCTGCACTATTCTCTGTCCCTGATATCGTACAACTTTATTTTGGCTTCCATTGTTCATGTTAACTAGGATATCCCCAAACGTGGTACAGCACAATCCCTTTGGTTTCCAGTTTCCTGGTATGCTGATTAATGATTCTTCCCTGTCGTGTCTGACAAAGTTTACAGTTCTTTTGCCATAATCAGTGTATATAAGATCTCCTTGGCTGTTCATTTTGATGTCAAAAGGATGCAACCCCAAGCATGAAGTCTCAACCATATCCTGCACAGGCCCATGCATGTCAACACTCCTTATGATCCAATTTTCACCACTCACCCAAGCTTTATCTGCTCCCACACAGGCTATTCTATGCAGAGGTTTAACTCCAGTAGGAATGGTTGCAATTACTCTGGCTTTGTCCAATAACTCTCCCGTAGATAAAAAAGAGTCCTCCTCTGTCAGACTGCAATGTGATGTCTGTGTTAGTGTAGCCTTGTACTCTCCCAGCTCTATACTCAGTTCTACTCCTAGGAATGAATTTGTTTTTAGAGATAAAATTTCGATATCAATATCAGAAGGTGTCGTTCTGTATTCTGTTAGATTGGATTTATAGTTCGTGACATGGGACACCCGATTTGACTTCAAAATTTCTTTGTTTTGCTCAACTGTTTTCTGCATTTCTAGAATCAAAAATCTGAATGTTCTCTGTTGTATTTTTAGATCAGCCAGATTACATTCTTTCGCGTATTTAATCGAAGAACCAAGTTTGTTGAAAATGGTGTCGACTTCATTGTGCCATAGTTTCTTGTATTTTTCGGCTTCCTGTTCTAATTCCTCATATTTAGCATTGCATTTGGAAGCTCTATTGCTGATACAACTTCGTTCTTCAGGTACTTTGGTATGATAACAGTTTCAATTTCTTTAGTCTCTCTTTCAATTTCTTCTTTTTTGTTCGCAACTATATTGGCCAATTCTACAACATCGTGACCCTTATGGTTGCCTAGAAGACATTTGATGCACACTGGTAAATCACACTGTTGACAAAGGATCTCACATGTCTGGGGTTGGTGAAATTCACACTCAGAAAACACCAACTGTATCTTTCTGTTTGTAAAAGGAACAATGTTATGTGTTTGAGACTTGAACTTGTCCACATGTTCACTGACACAGTCTACACATAAATTGACTTGACAGTTGCTACAAAATTGTTGGGTAGGTTTGTCGCAGAGGTCACATGTGATAACGTCTTGTGCCCAGGAGATTGGAGTAGCCATTTTATGATCTGAAGAAAAAAGTAAGAATTTATACATTTACATATATATATTGATTGTTTGTTGTCCTATGCTCATTTGGCTTTGCTTAGTAATTTTCAGTGAATGCCAGAAAACCTTTAAATAACTATTCTCTAGATAATAATACCTTTTATTGATTTTTTAAGAGAGTATTTATACAGTATATTAAACCAACCTGAGCATTACTCCATGTCCATTCAGTAAAACTGTTGGTATACAACTGTCTTTTTCAATGTTTGCCTGTTACATTCGGTCTGTTTTTCCAACAACGGGTTGAGACTTTCTAAAGAGATTTATACATGGAGATAACAGTCGAGATATTGATTAGACGAGACTACGAATGGTGAAAATGGGTCGCAATTAAAATCTACAATGAAAAAGGTAAAGAAAACAAACAGTGGTAGATTTCAAAGAAAAATGTGCAAACAAAATAATTCTGTGAATATAAAACACGGACCATCGGAAATTCCAGAAAGGGATCAGATGCCTTGGAGGAGTAAGCATCCCCTGTCGGCCAGTCACACCCACCGTGAGCCCTATGTATTGATCAAGTGGACGGAATATTTCGGTCAGATTTAGTATAAAAATAAAGGCCTAACAATTGGTATGAAATACGTCAGCCAAAATAAGACCCAATGATAGGTTATATTTGCAAACAACGACATTATAACGTCAATATAATTTACAAAATACTGACTTTAAATGAAGTTGTTGAAATCCCTGAAACATCAAACTTATCTTTCAGTAGCCTACCTTGTTTAAAAATTGATCGTAGCCAGAGTATGCTCTTGAGTATCAAATAAGTCAAAGAGACGTGAACAGCATATGCAGGTGATTGCGAAACATTACTACATAAATAAGGAAAGTTTACGATGAAAAGCTGGTCATCTCGTTTGTCATACAATTAACTTGTTAGTTGGCCCGTTATCGTCTATAGTCAGTTAAACATCCAAACATAAAACAGATGTGACAGACAAAAAAATGTAAGAAATGTCAACAAATATTCCAATATTCATATTAAAATATAAAATTAGAAATTTAATATTCTTCTCATCTTTTTGCGGATACACAAAAAATTAACTTGATGTGGCAAATTTAAATGGAAATGTAGGTAATTAACCAAGTATTTCCATTTTAGTTAGGTGTTTCAGTAGAAAAGTCAAACCTCCCAAAAACCTCCCAAAATACAACGTTTGGCCACATTCTAATACGGATTGGACTATAAATTCACCGACAGAGATCATTCACTCTCTCAGCAATGCGTTTTTAATTTCTGTGGTTGCAATAATCAGTAAAATACATTTACAGGATATGATAACCGAATAATAAAGATTTGGTAAAGCACTGTAACGTTTACGGTTTTATACTATAAGGTTTCCAAATTACATTTATTTCATACCCAAGTAAGCATTTTTTTTTTTACAACTATACACCCATTAACTATAAAATTACAGGTTAAATCCAGCTAAAACTACTTTGACTTAGCCCCAGTTCTCACATTGTAGAATAAAATAAGATGCATTTACGTATTGTCTGAATTAATATCTTGAGAATATTTAGTGATTGCAATTTTCCGCAAAATTTGGATAAAGGCAGAAAATACCCATCATGCGGTGTATATATCCAGTAAGGTGAAGAATGTTGTCATGTTAATGACAAGCGTACAGGGTGTTGATCCAAACTGTCCTTTTAATTGGTTATTTACAACTAATTTTCTTTCAAATTTAAAAAAATTACATTTAATAAACCAAAATATATAACATAAACTGGACTGAGTTGGGTAACTGTCAGTGTTCAACTTAGCGATGACGGTTGCCCTTAATTACGATACAATTGGTCTCCGGCTTGGTATGGAAATATATCCTCCTGTCCTACTGCCTTGGAGGCCTACACACACAAAAGGTATACATGTATGCCTTGCGCCCAAGACTCTAGATGTGACCGTGTCTAGTTCCGGGACATCTACCACACAGGTTGAGGACCTGTTAATTTCCCATGCACAATATAATGTCTAGGTAGACATACACTTTACACATTGTAAGTTATACAGTGCATACACATATACATATGGCGTACAAATAGCATAAAAGATGCTTTACTACAATATATTATACCTTTACTTTACACTTTATACCAAAATATTACAGAACAGAGGACATACTAAAACACACGAAGGGGACGCCGTATAATCATTTCTCGATAACTTTTGACCAACTATACATATAAATAACGTATACAGAGATATAAAAATAATTAATCTCAAATAGCAAAACAGTTAAGGCTGACTATGTTAAGAAATTCCGAAACTGGTTGCTTTAAGATATTTACAGCATTTATATTTTAATGGAAAATAAAAACGAGGCCTTCCTCAGAAAAGTGGGATCATACATGTTAGCAATATCAGGAAAACTGTGTTGAAGTCTGCCATGACTATTCTATTGCAAAATTTACTAAAATCTCTGGAGAAGTATAAGAACGCCCTTCTCTATGAGGACTCTCGTGTCCAACTGCCGCACTGACTCAACATTATTTTTAAAGGTCAATTAAGTGATCCGAGGCATAAAAGGGGTTAAATATGTACATAGTGAAAAACGGAGGCTCATCACAGGGAAAAGAATTTTGCTTGCGTGTTCGAATATAAACCATTCATATAGATGTAGATTTTAATGTGACAAGTGTATAGATATATTAAAATAAATTTGTTTCATATAGAGATCTTCGAATTACTTGTTTGACAGTTGTCAGTTTGTGTCGTTGTAAAGGGCCTAATTTCATCAGCTCATAATAAATATGATTTAATTTGTAAGTTCTGAAGGGTTCAAACTTTGACGAGTAACCGAGGAGCACAGATAAGCCTTATCAGATTTACTCTTTATAATCGATTATGAATATTGGAAATTTCGTTGACATTCCTGATAAATTTTGTAGATTTAAATTGTGACCCATTTTCTCAACTCGTAGTCTCGTTCAATAAAGTGCTCGACTATCTCCATTTATAAATCTCTGTAAGCACCCATTGCATTGAACCAGTAATTTGTAAAAACAAAACACCTAAAGTAACAGGTGAATAATGAACAGAACAGGTGCATACCAGCTGTTTTACTGAATGAACATGGAGTTATGCTGCAGGTTGGTTTAACAAACTGAAAAATGCTGTCATAGAATAGAAAAAAACATGTATTGTCCAAAAAAAAGTTATTTATAGGTCTTAGTTTCATTACAAATTACTATGCAAAGCTCAGTAAAGCCAAATAACCGTAGGCCAATAAACAAGCATTAAATTTATGTATAAAATAATTATTTCTTTCTTCAGATTTTAAAATGGCTACTCCAATCTCTTGGGCACAAGATGTCATCACTTGTGACCTCTGTGATAAACCTACCCAGGAATTCTGTAACAACTATCAAGTCAGTTTATGTGTGGACTGTGTCAGTTAACATGTAGACAAGCACCAGTCTCTCACACACGAAAAAGTTCCTTTCAAGAACAGAAAAATACCAATGGTCTGCGAGGCCTACTGTCAACAATGTGACGGCCCAGTGTGCATCAAGTGTATTCTTGGCAACCATAAAGGTCGTGATGGTGTAGACTTATCTAATATAGTAGCAAACAAAAAAGAAGAAATTGAAAAAGATACAGCGGAAATTGAAACTGTTATTATTCCAAAGTGTCAGAAAAGTGAGAATGAGGCTAAAGTTAGAGCCTCTAATTGCATTGCTAGATTTGAGGAGTTAGAACAGGAAATGGAAAAGCATAGGATATTATGGCATAAAGAGGTTGACACCATATTCAACAAACTTTGCTCTCTGATTAAATCCATGAGGGATGACAATATGAATGCTCTAGAAACACATCAGACTAACCTCAAATTTTTGATTCCAGATATGAAGAAAACAGTCGAGCAGAACAAAGATATGTTGAGCAATGATAGATTTTCCGAAGTCATAAACTACAAATCAAAAATAATTGTATTCAGAAACATACATGCTGATATCCATTTTGAAATTCAATCACTGAACGCAAACACAGTCCACGGCAGTGAACATAAAATAAAGCTAAAAGAATATGTGGCTTCATTAACACAGACACATTCTAATCGAACAGATTTATTTGCAACAGAGTCGTTCGACAGAGTTATAGCCACAATTCCAACTAAAGTTGAATCTCTACTCAGGGTGGTCTGTTTAGGAGCAGAAAAAGCTTGGGTCAGTGGGAAAGACACAACCATAAAATGTGTTGACATACAGGGGTCTGTACAGGACTCTGTAAAGACTACCTTTATGGAAAGGCCTACTGACATCACACTGACAAGACAAGGAGATCTGATATACAATGATTATAAAAATAGAACTCTGAATATTGTCAGACATGGGAGAACAGAAGTATTGATCACTACACAAGAGGACTGGAAACCAAGGGGGCTTTGCTCTACCAGATCAGGAAACATATTGGTCAATCTTTATATTGGAAGCCAAAATAAAATCGTCCTTTACCAAGGACAAACAGTGAAAAAGTGAATATATAATGATAACTATGAAAAAGAAATCTTTAAGAAAGGTAAATTTAAACTGCTTTTGTCAGAAAACACCAATGGAGACATTTGTGCCTCTGATCCTAACGCTAACATCGTGACTGTATTGGACAAGTTAGGAAGAGTGCGATTCCGATATGACGGTACACCTGCCAGAATGAAGGAGGCATTTTATCCTAGCCAGACTGTGACATATTCCATGAATCAGATTATTGTAGCAGATTACAACAATGGCTGTCTACACATTCTTGATGAAAATGGACAGTTCCTTAGATGTGTTTATACTTGTGAACTAAATAGTCCCTATGGATTGAGTGTCGACAGTGAGGGAAGGTTGTGGGTTGGATTATGTTATTCAAGAGCAGTAAAAGTGATACAGTACATGAAAGAACCCTGCAAGTGTTTTGTGTGGGCTTTAGATTATGACCATATACCCCCTTAATTCTTCTTGAAACATTTTAAAAACTGATTTAAAATTTATTAAACAATATTAATAGATATATAAACATGATAAACTTTACAGGGAAATCAACATCAAACATCGTTTTATTCGGTTATGGAAGTTATATAATTTAATGTAAACACAATTATACAGAGGAGGGGGAGAGGCACTTGAGATTTTGGTCTCGCTTTTGAATACCAGGTAGGATGTAGAAGAGATCGTAGTTGATCAAAATACAACCAGGATTATTGGTATTCAGTTTATTACATTCTGACAAAAAACATTGGAAGACAGAAATTGAAACAAATGAATACTTATGATCAAGGGTGTGTCATGACCCTGCACTAAATTGTAAAAAAAAAATCTCACCAATAATGTTTAACCTAACTCAGAAGATGCTTATTTACGCATAAAATTGAAGTTCATAAAAATTTTCAGAATAAAAATTCTAGATTGTTGAAGTCTTCTTCTTGCAGTTTAACAAGACAGATAAATTATCCCTATGTAATGGTCATAGTTTCGGATTTGTTCAAATGATGGCATCCTGTGCTAGATTGGAGGGATCTGAAGGTTTCAATAAAGCAAAAAGTGAAAATGACGACCAGTACACGGTCATAAACCAATTTAACAGAAGAAGGTGGACCAGGTGTCATGAAGGAGTAAGCATTCATTGATGAGGGGTCACAACGAAGAGTTTTGATAGGGAATTCTGAGGAAAATTGGCTTAAGGATCAGCATATGATCTCGTAACAGTTTATATTTGCAAACAAGATTATTGAATTGACTATAGAACTGGCGAAATATAGACGTTTAACGAAATTGTTGGCAACAAATCATCAATGTTAAGTGGAGTGACAAGACAATCATATGTTATTGAATGTACCACAGTGAGGGCTAATTTGTTACAGTGCTTATTAAAACACATTTAAGAAGGTACTAGATAATATTTCTCATTGCCTTCCGTAACATACACAAGAAAGCTACTTCAGATGAAAACAATATTCTCCAATTAATAAGAAGCCACTCACTTCAACAACTGTGACAGAGGAGGCAACTTCTAGCACCGGATTTGACATTTTTATCCCATGATGCGTGTGCCCATCATGTTGAACTGCTCCTATGCATATGTACATGGAAAAATCTGTGTCAGGCCGAAGCCTGCTTGGGATGGTTGTTCAAAAGACAAATGTGACCGCGGACATTGCATTAAGTAAAATAAAAATGTTACCCCATACGGAAAAACACACAGATAATCTACAGTACTTTGTAATTTTACATGTTGTACTCTTATATCACAGTTATCAGTATTTATCTAGCAAGGTTGAGACGTTCAAGTGTAAGTATGTTGATTACTTGCATCACTCATGGACTGTCACAATTAATGTGTATCCTAATGAATGCAGTCAGCATTGTCCTCAAGCTTTTCACATTTTCATTTTCTGTACAGAACCAATGGTCCATTTTAAAACAAATTTGCCTCAAAGCTTTAAGCTTTCTTGGATAATGTGAATTTAAATTTGTGTGACCGGTCGGCAGGGGATGCTCACTCCTCCATGGCACCTGATCCCACCTCTGATGTTTTGGAGGTCCGTGTTTGCTCTGCACCTATTTTGTAATGTTTAATGGACTTTTCAGCTTGAATACTGTTCGTTATCTCCATATATTTCAATCAAAGGACCAAGCACCTTTCCTGACGGCGAGAAAATAATAGACCCAGGGGGGGCAGGACATAGGCATAAAAGTAATGGGACGCCAAATGAACATAGGAATGCATAGAAATGTATTTCTAAGATTCGTTAAAAAATTTCTAAAGAACTTGACAGCTGTTTATAGTCCTGTCTATATGCAAACATTATATTGTATGGGGTGACTTACATTTTTATTTATTTATTTATTTGTAAGAAATGCCCCATGTGAAGAGAAATGCAAACATTACCTAGAATTATATAAGAAAAAAAACTATTAAATCTTTTTCTAAAGAACAAGGACACAACTTGTAAAATTCTAATAGATTGAAATTTGTTAAAATGATGGCTCCAGGACCTAGGGAGTTAAAGTTTTATATGGTGTCTCCCATCATCCGTTCCATTTTTGTGTATGAAACTCCTTCCAACAAAGGCAAAATTACATGCTCCCATGACCAGCATATGAAAAACTTTAAGGTAAGAAGGTGAGAATTTTAAATAGCTACAATTCCCAATAAGGCCAAAAAAGTCTATAGTTTCTCAGGCACCGCCAAATTTCGTCAGATCAATAAAGACATATTGAGAAGAGAAGTAATTCATTTTTTTTTTTATAATTTAAGTTGAAAAGAAAATTGAGTTATGCCCCTTTTCAAGCATGCTAAAAGAAGAACATTTTTATTTGATACAAAATATATTTCTTGTTAAAATGTTCATAATGTCACATTTTTAATGTCAAGTGCAAATTATGATTAATATTAGTGTACGAAAATGTAAGAATCAATTGATATCATCATTTTTTGACACACAAGAAAAAGAGATCATCTGATTCCTTCAAAAAATGAGAAGACATGCCTTCTGTGTTGAATTTTGAAAATTTAACCTGAGAAACTAAAGATTATTTTTTAAAGGCCTAAACCTTTAAGAAAGGCTGTCGAAGTACTCCGAATTCACAATCCTCTAGACTCCTTTCCAGTTTGACATCTGTGAAGAAATAGAGCAGATTAAAGGTATGAGTGTATCATATAAGATATTGTTAGCTAATACTCTTAACATATTTAATTTAAATATTTGCATACCATATTCACTAACCTGAAGATCAATCCAGCAAGCTATGAAAAATCTCAGCAAAGGAGAACAGAGTCTGTTCAATTTGCGCCAATTTTACATGAAGAACCTGTGATACATTTCACAGATCAGTACAACTTTTTAAAGAAATCCGATCGTTCATAAATTTTTAAAGTCTTGATTGCTGTGAAAATGCTTGAAAGATAAGTCACTATCACTTGAGGAAAAGATAGATGATGACTGAACTTTTTTGTTGAATAAGGCAGGGATTTTATGCCTAATCATGCCTAGGGCATACAGTGTTTGTCATTTTCATCTTTCATCCTTGCGTCTTTCCGTCCTTTTGTCGGTCACACTTTGCATTTAACTCATTTTTAAAAATAAAAAAAAAAAAAAAAAACTATTATAGATATTTTTATCAAACTTTATATGCTGGTAGATATTAGTAAGGGCTTTCAATTGCATCAACATTTTTTGATCTTGATCTTTCCATTGACCTTGAACTTACTTTTCTTTAATTTGCGTTTAACCCAGTCTCAAAGAAGGTTTTCCAAGTATTATGTTTTCAAACTTCGTATGCTGATACATAATGATGAGATTCAATTGCATCAACATTATTGGACGTTGACATTTCCTTTGACCTTTATCTCACTTTTCTTAAGTTTGTACTTACAAACTTAAAAAAACTATTCAAGATATATTTAGCAAACGTCATATGCAGATACATATTAGTAAGAGCTACTCAATTGCATCAACATTTTTGGACCTTGACCTTCTTTATGGGCTGACATTACTATTCTTAAATTTGTGTTAGCTCAATTTAAAAGAAACTTCATGAACTATTACCAATTGGTGAGAGCTATTCAACTGTGTCATAATTTTCTGACCTTAACCTTCCCCGTTACCTTCACCCCACTATTCCTCATTTACCGCAAACTTAAACAAAGAAGCAAGGTACATTTCTTTTATGTTGGATTACTAATGAACCATGGTGGGCATTCATGACCTATGGACATATTATTATGTTTTTTAAAGACATCTTCGAGAGAAAAAGGGTAACATTTTACAATAAAGAGATATACATTGAATTTCTTCTTCATTAAGATGTGAAGAGCTACATTAACTTGTAAAATTGCTTTAACAGATTTACAAACAGGAGGAAGTTTGTTCAATGTCATTGTATAAGAAATGCGAACGATAGTATTGTTCTGCGGCCTACCTTCATGTTAATTTTCAAAAGTTAACATACTTGAATGATTTTTATATCTATATAGATATTTATGTGAATTTTCATGAAAAATAACTTATTAGGGAAAACAAAGAGAGATGACTTTATAATTTTGGTAAAACTGGTGTTTTTCACTATAGAAATTTTAGGTATTATGAATTATTATTTCACAATTTCATAACAAAGCTTTTGTTGTTTCATGTGGAGAAACATATGTTTAGAGAAAAAAATCAGCAAAAATGGCCGTTTTATTACCAATTTCAAATGAGATTAAAAGTGAAAAATATATTTTATCAATCTTATACGAGTACGTTGAATTTTATATATGTTAAACATACGGAAAGAATTAAGGATCGTTAATCCATTTCCATGCATATTTGAAAATCTGGCGATGTTTGTAAGCCTTATTTCAAAGGAGAAAATTTTCTAAACCCCCCCCCCCCTGAAATTGTTTAATTCATTTTGTATAGATATGTGTTAATTCCATATTGATTTTCCAGTCTGGTTTTATGCCTAAACGTGTGAAAACACTCATGCCTTCAGAATGTGATCAAATTTTGTCCGTTGTGTGTCGTCGATGACGTCCGTGTCGTAAACTTTTCTCATTTTTCATAACCTTCTCCAGAACCACAGGTCCAATTTCAACCAAACTTGGTACAGAGTATCCTTAGGTAAAGGGAATTAAGATTTTTACAAATGAAGGTCCACACCATCTCCTAAAGGAAGATAATTAAGAAATAGTAAAAATTGGTTGCGGTCATTTAAAAATCTTTTTCCCAAGAACCACTGAGCCAAAGTAGATGAAACTTACGTGAAAGCTTTATGACATGATGTAGATTCAAGATTGCCCAAATCATGATCCCAGAGGAAGGGTGAGGCATCGATGGGTGATCAATTTTTTACATAAATATACATGGGAAAAAATCTTCTCAAGAACAACAAAGCCATATTTATAATGAAGCATCCTCAGTTACATGAAGTTTAGATTCAAGTTTGTACAAATCATGACACTCGGGGGTAGG